ATACATGACATACTATTAATATCAAGTAGGTCTAACAAAAAATTTAATTCAAAAAATTTATTAAATATTTTTTAAAAATTTAATTACAAAAAAGTAAAAAAGGTAAAAAAGAAAAAAAAAGTTTGATATAAGTCAGTCTCAAATATAAAAAAATCTTTAAAAAATATAATTTTATAATATTAAAAGTATTTATTAAATAATTTTTAAAAAAAAGTAAAGAAAAAAAAAAAAGGTAAAAAGCAAAATCTAAAAAATGACATGCAATAGCCAAAAGGAAACAGAATTATTGAAAGCACGTCATTCAAGCAAGTTCCTAAAGAATAAAAAAATTTTAATTATTTTTTATATTTAAAAAATCAAAAATGGTAAAAAGGAAAAGCAAAAAAAAAAATTGATATAAGTAGATCTACACATAAAAATATAATCTTTATAAATATATATATTTTTATAATTTTAAAAAAATTTATTATTTTTTAAAAAGTAAAAAAAAAAAAGAAAAATCAAATAAAACAAAAAGGAAAAATGGGACCAATCATGGGTTGACATGTCACACTTTAATATTTAAAAATAATTTTTAAAATTTGCAAAAAAATCAAAGAAATAAAAAAAAAAGCAAAAAATTAAGGTAACACGTGGCTTGGGTTTTGATCATTACTATTCATTCGTTCATGACCAAAATTTAAGTAATTGATGTATACATTATATTAAAACAATTCCCTGACAAAAATACTACGGTTGGAAAAGAATTTGAAAATGACACGTGGTTCGATAAATCAAGGATCATTTTTTGGAATGGAGTACAAGTAAAAAAAGCCATTAATGCTATATCTTAAAACAACTATTTAAGGGATTGTTTGTTTGACCTTTAGGATTATCGTATTGGATACATTTATTAATTGTTTTTAAGATTTCATTATTCTCATTTGTTCACGTTTAATTAGTTGGTTTTTGTTAATGTTTTTTAAATTTGTTTTTGTTAATAGATAATTAATCATAATTTTGATCCTTAATTACCATATAAAAATATTGTTAATATTCGAATAACATTTTATTTTTAAAAAAATTATATATGCTAATATTAGTTATTTCAGTATATTATTTCAAATTTTTTAATTTAATATAAATATATTTATAAATATATATATGAATTTGTACATAATAATACTATTAATAATTTATAAAATAAATATTCAATATATTCAAAAACCAAATAAATAAATTTAAAAATATAAAAAATAACATCAAACAGATGAAAAAAATTAACTTTGGCTTCAAAATCATTAAACTTTAGCTTAAAAGAGAATGAAATACTTATGAACTTTAATTTTAGAAAATAAAATATAAAACAACAAGTTAGAGTAAAAGATTAAAAAAGAACGATTTTCAAAAGTTATTTTGTCAATTAATTTTTTTATTAAGTTAAAAATAGTAAAACAACAAAAAATAAGCTAAAAGTTACCAACATGTTTTACATTTATGAGCTAACCGAAACAAATTAATCCATTAAAATTCACTGTATCAAATTTAATATAAAAAATCACTTTTAAGTATTGCATTTTGATATAATTAAAGCATATCGATCGTATGATCAGTATCAAAACAAAATTAACAACATTCATGCAGATTTTACTCATTTGTCTTGAAAGAATAGGTTGAATAAAGAATAATATGATTTAAGTAAACATATAAGCCTTACTTAATTTTTGTATTAGAAGACTGGATTTAATATATATTGTATTAGGAGAATGGATTTAATATATAATGTTATAATATTTTGATCTAATTTTTAATTTTCATATTTAAATTTATTATTTAAATGTAATATAATAATACTCAAATTAAATTTACTTTATCTGTTCAATAAAAATTTTATATTTTAAAAGATTTAAATTTAATATATTATTTATTTTATTATAATATTATATGTTGTTAATAAATAATAAAATTATATTAATTTTAATAAAACATTACACGTTGTTAATTAATGGTAAATTTAGAAAAAGTAGAAACGGCCTTATGTCGTTAGTTAAATAGAAAAATTCAAAATAGATCAGAAACAATTTAATGAGACTTTAAATTGGAGTTGAAATAATTAAATTTAAAATATTTGAGGAAATAGATACTAAGTGGTTTTTAATTTAGTTTTATTGACGTGGAAAGACTTTTTTCCTCTTTCAAAACAATCATTACAACGCAGGCTCTAGTTAAATTTTGTTTATGCAATTTTTATTTTAAAATGCACTTTTTACATATAATTTTTATATCATATTTTTATTTCTAAAATATTTATATCATCTCCTTCTACTTCTCATTTTTCTTTCTTTCTTTCTTTTCTCCTTGCTATTCAGTTTGTATTTTTTTTTTCTGGTTTCAAATTTTTTTGCCAAATTTAATTTTTATTATCTGTATATATAATTAAAAAAAAAAAAGCACATAAACTACATAATTGTTTACTATTTTCAATATATAAAATATCACAATGCAACATTCATTTTAATTCTTTGAAATAGAAAAATAACTGATTGGCAAATAGTTCCATTAGATATATGTTAATTAACTGATTAAAAGTTACATCAATTCCTTCCTCTTATTGTTCTCCTGTGAGTATGTGACTGGCATATTTAGTTATTTTGATAACTTATTAAGAGTTAATCAAATATATTCATCTGAACCATGTTTGATTATGGCATATAAACTTTTGACTATACATATAGAATTTTTTTTTTTATAACTTCATTACAATGAAAACCAAATATATTCATTTGAATTACGGTTAATTTATCCTTCAAATAAGCTTTTAAATTTCACAATCCTTTTTATATATATTTAACAACTTTAACCAATTTAAAGTATGATGTACATCCAACATACAGTTAATTAAATGAAGCCAAGTATGTTTCTATTTCTGAACCTTATCATATCAATGAGTCTCCTCAGCTTTGTTCTATGGGAGTAGTTATTAGTTTTGTCTTTTGCAAGTATCTAGTCTTAAGGACTTTTTCCTTTTGGATTAGTCTTTAGGGATTATCAGTTAAAGTTTCCAGTGATATATCGGTCAGGGGAAGGGACTCAGTGTAGCATAAACATGGACAACGCAGATGAGTTAGAGGGTTTTTGGAGAAACTTGGTACTCACTGAGGATGAAAGAGAAGGGATTAGAGCCGATGGGGTAAAAGAAACTGAAGATTCAACCGAAAGTCAGAACTGGTTAGTGGCAAAACTATTAACAAATCGTCCTTTGAACAAAGATGCAATGATCAGCACATTAAGGGTGGTCTGGAAACTGTCAAAAGAAGTTGTGACCACAGTATTGGATACCAACCTATTCCTTTTCAAATTTGCCACACTAAAGGACAAGCAAAGGGTGGTGGAGAATTCACCGTGGTTTTTTAAGTAAAAACATTGTGTTGTTTCAGAACTATGATGGGAATTTGAGGTTAACCGATCATGTCTTCAACAGAGCTAGCTTCTGGGTAAGAGTATCCGGGCTGACGTTGAACATGATGAATACTGAAATGGCAGAAAAAATAGGCTTAAAGATAGGATATTTTCTATTGGCAGATAAAAACACTTCAAATCAGGGAAGTGGAAGTTTTCTTCGTTTAAGGGTTTATATTGACATATCGAAACCTTTAAGAAGGTTTGTGGCATTGACTAGCGCTGCCAAAGGAAGAGATGTGATACGGGGAAGATTGAGGTATGCAAGGTTAACCATTTTCTATTATAGATGCGGGTTGCTTGGATACAATGAGGTTGAATGCAAATTAGATGCTGGAAAAGAAGGCGAAGATGATACTGAACGACAATATGGGGACTAGTTACGGGTCTCCCTACCGAAGAGAGGATACACGGCCTTCACAGTCCCATACAATAGATACAACTACCACCTAAGCTATGGCCAAAGGCCGGAGAAAGGTGTGAATGGCGGTGGAGAAAGGGGCAGCTCGGAGGTAGGCGGTAGGAAACCGAACAAGAAGTTACAAATGGAAGATCCTATAATTTCGGTGGAATCAAGTGATAACAGGGATGTGTTTTTTTAATAATGGCAGATCACAAGAGATCATACATAATAAACAGACTACTACTATTTCGGGGTCAACCATGGTCTGTAATGAAGCTGGCACGGAAAGGAAAGAAATCAGGAAAATTAATGAAGGAAAATCAGGTGAGGAAACATGCATACAAGGATGCAAGGACGTGGAGAATGACGGGGAAAAGAATGAAGCCAACGTGGAAAAAATCTTTAAAGCACATTTGGAGGACGAAGATATCACGAATAACGGTACACATAGAACCAAGGATGGAGAAAGTAACGTAAAGTGCGACATGCAAAAGATGGCAAAATTAAATATGGAAAACCAATTGCATGCAAAAGGTGCAAAAAGCTGGTAAGGGAAGTATCAACTGAAAATGAAAGCGGTCCTGTAGCAATGGGAAAGCATAAATTTTGTAACATGCAGGAAGAGCACAACAGGGAAGCAGGGGAAATGGCCACAAAAACCAAGAAAAGCAGGGATGGGAAGAACGTAGAACAAGAAGAGACTGTGACTGATCATCAGTCTCGCCGATGACCATGAATTGCTTAACATGGAATTGCCGCGGGCTTGGAAACCCATAGGCAATTCAAGCTCTCACGGAGCTGATAAATAAAAAATATCCTCATGTAGTTTTTCTCAGTGAAACAAAGCTACATGCAACGAAACTTTATAGGATTAGAAGAAAATGCAGAATGGCAGCCTGTATAGGTGTTTCATCAGAGGGTAGAAGTGGTGGTCTTGCTATGCTTTGGAGAACTGAGGTGGATCTTAAGCTCTTGAGTTTAATTAAAAACCACATTGAGATGGAAGTTGCAGTGAACCCAAACTCAGATCATTGGCGAATCACAGGGTTTTGTGGAGAGCCAGAAACTAGCAAAAGAAGTGAATCATGGGCACTTTTACGTCAGCTTACAGAACAAAACAATTAAGCCTTGGCTCATTCTCGGGGACTTTAATGAAATAATGTGGAAAAACGAGAAAACGGGTACCTGTTTAAGGAGAGAAAGGCAAATTACGGATTTTCGGGCAACACTAGAAGATTATGAGCTGGAAACTTGGGATTCCATGGACCTTGTTTCACATAGGCAAAGGGTCAAAAAGTTGAAACTATCGTATGGTAAAGATTGGATAAAGTTGTTGCCAATAGGGCTTGGTGTGAGACATAGATTTATATAGCGATAGGATAGCGGCCGCTATTTTGCAATAGTACCACCATCTGTCACCATTATTAAAAAAAAAAAAAAAATTCAAATCTCATCTATAATAACATGGTTGTAAATTACGGCGTAATATTAAATAGTGACAATAACGATATATTATTGCTCGTTACTTTTTTTTTCATTTAAAATTTAAGAAAAAATTTTTTATTTAACTTTGGTTAAAAACTTAAAATAAAAACAATAAGTTAGAAAATAAACATAAATTCATAAATTCAAGAAAAAAAGCCTCACAAAACTTAAACTTTTAGATATATGAATTCTCTTAAATTCAACTTCAATCAAGATCAAGCACATATAATTTAAGGTAAGCAATTAATTAGCACTCAAATTACTTTTTTTTTTAATTTTCAAATTTGTTATGATTTTATATGTTTAAGATTGGACTGGGCTATGATACACTACTAAGAGGGGGCAAGAGTTGTTGAGAAATAAAATGAGAGACAAGACTTGAGGTTGAAGGAGACGAATAGATAACACACACCAAAAAAAAAAAAAAGAGCTAAGATATGGTGATGAGGATAAAGGTCTAAAGAAAAAAATTATTGAATGTAAGATGAGGAGATGAGAAGTTGTGTGGGTCTATGCAATTTAGTTAAGAGGCAGAAAAAGTTGACTTGAGGCTATTGTTGTTGAAGATTGCCTTCAACACGGAGATTATCAAATTTGATTTACTATAGGCCCATAAAAAGTAATTATCTTGGCCTATAAATAATAATTATTTTTATTAATTTATGAATGTTTAATCACTTGTTAGTTGATTTATGTGTAATATAATTTGGTAATAATTTGATGAATACAGTAATTAAATAATTAAATATGTCATTCGTTGTGATTATTTATTTTACATGTTTATTTATCTTTTGTTATTTTTTAATTATCATATGAGTAATTTTTTAAAGTATGAATATTTTACTATAAATATTTTTTTAAAATAAATAAACACATAACATGATATAAATTATTTTAAAAATCATAAAATAAGAATTTTTATGATTAATAATTAAAATTATTATATTTTATAATAAGTTGAACAAAATTATAAAAAAATTTACGATTGCAATAGCTACAATAATCGTAAAAATTTTCGTTATATCTATAATTATGACAAATGTGACGTGATAAAAAATTTAACCGCTGTGTTATATTTAAATCCCAAACCATGGTGTTATATTTAAATCCTCGGTGTGTCATGTTCCCAAACCATGGTGTTATACATTTAACGTCTTCGGTTTCAGACCATACACCCATTTTGTTGCAAACAGAGGTGAGAAAACGGAAACGGGCAAGACAAAGGACAAAAAGATTTCGGTTTGAATCAATGTGGGCCAAGGAGGATGAATGTGCAAAGATTGTTCATGATTCGTGATTTGAAGAAACTCAAGGTACATTGCAACAGAAAATGATGACAACAAACCATAATTTGATGAGCTGGCATAAGGAAAAGTTCATGGGAATAAGGAACAAAATGGAAGTTGCAAAAAGGAAGATCCAAAACATCCAACAAAGTCCTTTATCTGAAGACCTGTTAAGGTGGGAATGACAACTGAAAGGACGAAATGAACCTATTACTAGAAAATGAGAAATCTTTTTGGATGCAAAGATCAAGAATTAGTTGATTGAAAAAAGGGGACCGAAACTCCACCTTTTCCATGCGCAAGCTTCTCAAAGAAAGAAGAACCAGATTCGAGGTCTAATGTCAGAAGCTAGGGATTGGTGTGAAAAGGACGATGATATTCAAACAATTTTCACTGGATACTTTAAAAACCTTTATCAATCACAAAAAAACCAGTCATTTTGTAGATGTTCTCAAAGCAATAGATCCTTACATATCAGATGAGATGAACGGCCTGCTGCTAGCAGAATTCAAAGCTGAGGAAGTCATCCTAGCCATTAAACAGATGCATCTCACAAAAGCACCTGGCCCTGATGGTATGCCTGTTTTATTTTACCAAAAATTTCGGCACATTATTGGCAATGATTTTGTCCATACTTGTCTTGAACATTTGAACGAGGGGAAAAGCTCAGCTAACTAAAACCATACCCATATAGTCCTCATCCCAAAAATAAAAGATCCTAATAATGTTACCTATTTTCGCCCAATTAGCTTGTGCAATGTCATTTATAAAATCATAGCTAGAATTATTGTCAATGGATTAAAAAATGTCCTTCCCACATGTATTAATTTATCACAAAACGTTTTTGTTCTTGGGAGGTTAATTTCGGACAACATTTTGGTTGCCTATGAAATGATCCATGCTCTAAAAAAGAAAAGAAGGGGACAAGAGGGTATGTTCGCACTAAAACTTGACATGAGCAAAGCCTATGATAGGATAGAATGAAAATTTTTAAATGGGATGATGGGTAAAATAGGCTTCCATTCACGGTGGGTGGATATTATTTTGAACTGTGTTACTACTATTTCTTATTCTATTGTGGTTAATGGATGCATAACTGATTCTTTTAAACCTAAAAGAGGCCTTCGCTAAGGTGACCCATTATCTCCTTACCTTTTCCTGATCTGTACTAAAGGTCTCTCAGCACTTCTAACAAAAAATCAACGCGCAGATTTCTTACGGGAAGCAGACGAGCAGATCTGGACCCAGAGTTGCTCACTTGTTTTTTGCTGATCACAACTTACTTTTTGCTCGTGCAAATAGGAGCAAAAGCGAAAGGGTGAAGCATGTGCTACAGCAATACAAAGATAGCTCTGGCCAAAGAATCAGTTTCAACAAGTCCGCACAGTATTTCAGTGGTAACACAACAGAGACTCAACAAAAAGAGATTAGAAAAGTCTTTAGAGTTCAAATCACTTCTAACCCAGAGAAATATTTGGGACTGCCTTCCATGGTGGGGAGAGACAGGAAACGTGCATTCAGAGGGTTGAAAGACAGGATAAGCTCAAGATTAGCAAGCTGGTCAAGCAAAGCTCTATCTCAATGGGCGGGAAAGAGGTTTTTATTAAAGCAATAATACAAGCCATCCCATCCTACACAATGAGTTGCTTTAGGCTGCCAATAACAATGTGCAGTGAAATAAATAGTACAATCAGCAACTATTGGTGGAAGCATGGAAATGCGAGGGCAGGTATCAACAGGATGAGCTGGAAACGGACGTGCAAGCCAAAAACAGAAAAAGGAATGGGATTCAGGGATGTGGCTAAGTTCAATAAGGCAATGTTGGCAAAACAAGGTTGGAGGTTGTTGACAAACACAAACATATTGGCCTATGGGGTATTGAAAGCAAAGTACTTCCCAAGTACATCCTTGTTGAATCTAAACTGGGTGGCAATCCCTCACTGACATGGAGGAGCATTTGGGAAGCAAAAAGAGTTTTGGAACAAGGAGTTCGATGGAGGGTGGGAAATGCCAAAACCATCTGAACCTGGAAAGATAAATGGCTGCCATCTAATCACAACTGCCTACCCGATGCTACAAGGGACGAGTGGGACGAGAATTGCCTTGTAAGTGATTTCATAGATGAAACTACCATGCAGTGGAAAATGGAGCTGGTCCAAAACACTTTCTCTGCTGATGTGGCAGAGATAATAAGCACAATACCAATGAATAGAATTGGCTCTCTAGACGTGATGGTATGGCATTTCAATAATAGCGGTATGTACACGGTTAAAAGCGGATATTGGTTGCTCTACAATGATGGGGATACGGCGTTAGGAAATAGGCCCAAGACATACGAGTACAGTGGAAGAATATACGGGAAGCAAAAGTGCCGAGCAAGATCGGAATACTTCTATGGAAAGCTTGTCATGGGTATTTACCCATAACACACCCTAGTGAGGAGGAAAATGCAAGTTGAGAGTGTGTTCTAGATGCAACCAAACAGAAGAAACTATCCAACATGCTTCGAGGACGTGTCCAAAAGCGAGTGAAGTCTGGCAACAGGTCCATTTTAACTGGGACATTTTCACAGCAGAGGAAAAAGACGATGAGTGGATTTTGAAGGCCATAAACACGTTGACTCATAAGCAACTCGGCAGTTAGCAGTAATAGCGGTCGCGATCACGTTTTAGGTCACGTAGCATTTATCGTATTTTCAGATATAACGAAAATAATTATGGTTATTGTGATAATCACGATCGTGAATTTTTTTTTTGCACAATTTATTATAAAATATAATTATTATAATTATAATTATAATTATAAAAATTTTTATTCAATGATTTTAAAAATAATTTATGACACTCTATGTTTTTTATTTTCTAAAAAAATTATTTATTATTTAGATTATAAAAAGCATTCATATTTGGTTTATTCATAAAATTTGTCTTGGCCAAGTTCATATTCAATATTAATTTTAGACAAATCAAATATTAACAAAACATAATATATTAAATACCAAGCATTTAATTTAATAAAATTACAAACTTAAAAATATAATAATTTCAAATTCCATCAACTATAATTATTGATATATATTTCAAATTTTATCATATGGTAGAATGACAAGGAGGATCAGATTCTCTATCTTCACTTTGAGAGCCAAGTTGACTCCATCTCCATGAGGCCTTTATTCTTAATACATTTGAGGTGAAAGATATATTTGAGGATGATACATTTGTGGTGGAGGGTACATTATCTATGTATATCATATTAAATTATTAATCTCTTAAATTTTTTTAATTATAAATCTTCAATCCCTCTAATTAAATTTTATCTAAAAAAATTTCAAAAATTAAAAGTTTTCAAACTTATATTTTAATAAAATTTTCAAACCTATATTTTTTATTTTTTAGTTTTTAATCTTAATAAGAGTAATAAATCATAAAATGCTAAATTTGCTAAGTAACTTAATTTTTTTGATACACTAATTGATAAAAAAAAATTTTATCACGAGCAACTTTTAATAATTATATAATAAACACAATCTTCAATAATTACACAAAAATAATAAGAATTAATCTAATATCAAAAGAATTGACAATAATATAAATATCAAAACAACAAAAAAAATGTTAAAATTCAGATACAAAATTATAAATTAATATATAACACAATCAAAATATAATATTTAATTTTAATTATTTTTCATCTAACTTATACAAAAAAATTTATCAAAATTTTTCATTTAAAATCTCTATATATTATATTAAATTATTAATCTCTTTTTTTAATTATAAATTTTCAAAACCATTAATTAAATTTTATCTAAAAAATTTTCAAAAATTAATTACAAAATTAAATAAAAAAATTCAATCCCACCCTCCAAACAACTCACCACACCTAATCCCTCCTCACCCCCATCCAATCCCTCCCCACCTTCCCCCAAACGCCTCACCACACCCAATCCTTCCCCACCCCATCCAATCTCTCCCCACGTGCTTAATATCCCAAATTTGTTTAATTTTTTCTAGCAAACGGCAAACCCTTTTAGAAACGCTAATATTCTCTTTTGTTCATCTTTTTCTTTGTGCTGCTTTCCTTGGCTTTTTAGAATTTTTTTTTTATCTTTTTTTTTTTATCACTTATTTTTTATCGCATCCTTTTATCATTATCACTTGCTGACTTACCTAGTATTACAGATACCTTGTTCATCTTTCAAACTCTTATAACATATCATTTTACAAAAATTTTACAAAAAAAAAGGTAATTTAACTTTCTTTTCTTACCTTATTTGATCTTGAATTTGATTTAAATTTATTTTGATGATAAAGATCTGAGATTGTGAGCTTTATTTTTTGCTTTGGCTTTTATTTTTACTTTTGCAGGTTTATTGTTTTATTCTACAGACTTAAAGTTTTATTTTTTTCTTGAACTATTAGATTCGTGAGTAGAAAAACAGAATAGCGATAATAACGGTCCGTTATTGCCTTCTGGAACGAGGGGGAACAAAAGAACTGCATGGAGAAGGAAGTAGAGAAGCATTAGTGGTGGCAACCTTCATTATGCAGTATATAGATGATTATAACAAAGCACATGCAGCTGAAAGCAATGCACCACACTGCTACGGGGACCTGGAAAGCTTCTTTAAGGAGTATTACAAGCTAAACTTCGATGGGGCCTTTTATAAAGAAAGGAAGAAGAACGGGATCGGTATCATTGCACGAAACTCAAAGGGCGAGGTTATGGGAGCAATATCGGCTACGGTAAACAGGCTTTTGGATCCATTTATGTTGGACTACAGCAACAGCAAAGACGGTCGAGTTTGAAGTGAATTTGGGTATTCAATCTGTGGAGATTGAGGGGGATGATTTGGGAGTAATTAAAAGACAAAAGTCAACTGAACTAGATCTATCCACTGTGGGAGTCATAATTGATGAAGCCAAGAGCTGTTCTAGACTTTTAGCAAGATGCTATTTCGTGCACACCAGCACAAGTGGAAACAATGAAGCACATATGTTAGCGAAACATGGGCTTATTGTTACTGAGGACATGTATTGGATTGATGAATGCCCTGAAATCCTCAATAACAATTCCATTGTTACTGATATTTCATAAATGAAAAGAACAAATTTGGTTCATAAAAAAAATGAAGACAAGTATTAATGATCTTTTAAGGAAGGCGACCGTAGTTTTTTTTTTTTTTAATTATTATCATAATAAAAAATTACATTCATATAATCAATTAAATAATTAATTAATAAATTAAAATATAACTAAATAAGTAAACTTATATACAATAAAATTTGAACTTAGAACCTCAAAGTTTTAAAATTTCCTCTTTATCACTAAATTAAAATCTCATTGGCACATCCGGAAGTCTTCAACAATGATTTTTTTTCATTTTTTCCATTTCAATTTAATGTTGGTACGGAATTAAATTTGTATACTTTGTTTGCTTTAACCTTTCTACAGTATTGAATTTGTTTACCTTATTTGTTTTTATCTTTACCTCTAAATTATTCTTTGTGTCAACATTTTTTTTATAAACAAAGTTTTTACTTGAACCATCATAAGCTGCTTCAAATAATACCTTCAAACATAATACCATTTAGCCCCAAAGCCTTGTTAAGGTCCCTATTAACTTTGATCCCTAGTTATATTTCTTAGCTCTGGGTAAATTACATTAAAATTTAGGGTTTTTAAAGTTATTTACCCCTTTTTAGTATTCATCTCATTTATATTTAAATATGATTTGGTCCCCTCGTTTGGGTTAATTTTTGTTCATCCATAAACTATAAAGGTATAAAATTAAGAATCATACTTGAAATTTAAATACATTTATATTTTAGTATTACAAAAAATTACCTTATATGTAAAACAAAATTAAGATGGAAATCAAATTTAATTTATTTACACTATGTTGTTATCCATCATGCATATCGAGAATAATAATGTTATTATTATTATTATTATTATTATTATTATTATTATTATTATTATTATTATTATACAACAACCCATAAATTATAACATCATTTAACATAGTTTTTTTCCTACCATTTAACTGTCATAATAATTTTCTTTTGATTCAATGCCTAAAATATTAAAAAAAAAAAAATCTACTTCAATTATATTGTCATTCAATATTTTAACTTTTATCAACATAGTAAGTATTTTTAATTCAACAATTACTATTAAATTTTTGAAAATACTAAATATAAAAATTTCAAATTAAATATAAATTCTAATACCCATCCAACATCAATTTACCATAAAAATCATCATTAAATTACGTTTATAAAAATCAAGAACCAATAAACTTAACTACATAATAATATTTTAATTCAAAAATTATTATCAATCTTTAAAAATATATATCAATTATAAAAAAACAAAAAAAAAATAAAATTCTATTATAAAAACCAAAATTCAATATCCATCCAACTTCAATTTTTATATAATGTTCAAATAATATAAAAGTATTTTTAATTTTTTTTATATTTTAAATATCTGAAAAATTAAAGAAAAAAGCTACATTTTTATAAAACTGCCATGTGTTAAAAAAATAGCCCAAAACCCTCATTTTGTACATAGCTTATAGATTTTCTTTTTTTAAAAAAAAAAAAAGGAAATATTGTTAGGCTTATTTATATTTTTCTCTTTTTTTAAAATGCTTAAAAAAATATTTATCTGAAAAATGAAAATAAAAATTTTAAAAATTCATTTTTTCTTTCAATTTTCTTATTTATTTATTTCTTCCTTTTTTCTTTTTAAAAATAAAAAAATGGGGTTTGTTTTTTATATATGAAGAGCAATTAAGCTGTCATGAGTCAATTCCAACTTTCCAAAACTCTACTTTAATATATAGTAAGTATATAAGTATATAGATATGTAGATTTTTCCCCTTTGCGTAATAATTCAGCTACATATTTAGAACCTGATAAATAGCTCCTATTTTAAAT